TGACCCGCTCATTTAGCTCCCCTTGCTGCAGAGGTCTGTACCCTGCTAGTGACAGGCTTCTGCTGTGGCAGCTCTCCCCTTCACTGAGGTATTCACATTTTCTGAACTGCGAGCAAGGCCTCTAGTTCAACCTTTCTGAGGATGCCCCAGACCTTGAAGACCTTTCTCCTCTCTAATAAAGCACTGAGAATCGAGTCCTGTATGCAAGGTTGATAGGAGCAGTGGTGCTGGCAACAGGTTCTTTTTGTGTTTATAAGCTGTACTTGAACCCCCCCAAAATTTGTAACTCTAGTTTTGTTGCCAAAACGAATAAAATAAGTATTTCTGAAGTTCCTACTTTAAATTTTTTTTTTTTTTTTTTTTTACATCTGCAAGTGGTGGAGAGAGTTCTTGCCCTCCTGTATTAATCCAGGTGGCTGGACTACAGGATGACATGCCCTTGCTGGCTTTAATTCATCAAATGTGTTTATCTGGTATAGCAACGAATGCAGTGGGTGGTAGTGGGTAGATGTTGGCATTATACACAACATTGGTCTATCTAGTTCAGTCATTTTCAACCAGAATTCTAGCATCCTAGGATACCTTGAGATCCTTTCAAGGGTGCCATGCCGTTAGGTGTGCAAACATACTTCACAAGATAAATCCAGAGCTTTCAACTAGGGATTCCTTGTCAAACCCATTATAACCTGTTGTGGGCTTTCTGAGTAGTTTGCAACAGAAAAAGTAGTTCTGTTATTTTTCTGTAGTCAAAAAATAAGTGAAATCTAAGCATTGGCATTTTGTGAGGGGTGCCTTGAGCCTAAAATGTTGAGAATCACTGGTCTAGTTAAACTGTCCTAGTCTCCAGCTAGGGAAAATGCTTCACATTTCTTATCCTTATACTTTTTGGCTACTGGACAATGAACTTGGTAACTGAAAAATGCCATTAACCCCACAGCACTGTTTAGGATTGGAAATAAATCCACTTGTAAGGTGCAGAATGTAAAGGTTTGCCCATGACCCAAATGTTACTGCATTTTAGATGCCCCCGGTTTGTCCCTCCCAAGTGTATGCTTTCACCCCTCTCAAGGTAGGAAGCCTCTACTTCAACCATTCTTGGACTGGGGCAATGGGTGATTGGTCCTCATTTTGCAACCATCTTAAAAGGACAGGCCTAACCAGTTAGCAAGTTCATGCACTGTCTTGGGCCTGTGATCGGCAATCCAAAAAAGCTGCTTCAAAACATAGCCTTTTTCTTGTCAGCTAAAGGCACATAGCAAACAGGGAAAGGGGTAAAACTTTCAGCATATTTGGGGGAAGCTCCTGTCTTTACCTATTTTTGGCTGAGGAGAGCTATGGTGCCTCCAGCTTTACCTCTCCAGGTAGGAGTCCCTTTGAAGTTCTGATTTTTGATCAACTCATTCATTCCTGGGTTTGAAACTAATAGCTTAGTATCCTGTGTGGCCAGGAGGAAAAACTTCCTGGCCCAGCTGGAGCCAGGCAGGTGGGTCTTCTCAAATTTGTAGTGTTCCTTTGAAGGTATCTGTTGTGTGTTGTTAGACAGCAAAGAGCACCACACTGAAAATGCGTGCTTTGGGTCATTATAGGGCTGTAATCCTGTGAACTGGCCTAGTTTAACCAATGACATCTGCAAGGGTCAAAATATAAAAGAAGCAGCAAGCAAGGCTTGTTTGGGGCTGCGTAGAATAAAGGGGCTGTTTCTTCATATAGTGGGAATAGCCTGTTTTAACTGCAGGTTAGTGACCAATCCCAGAACTTTCCATTATTGGACCTTCTGGCAAAGAGACTAGCTTGAAGCTGACAGGTTTGTAGAGGAGAAGACAGTTCTAGAACTTGTATTTAAAAAAATGGCATCTAGGGGGATGAAAATAGCAAGAAGAAATATAAACTGCTTACTTAGTAGATGCCAAAAATAACCTTTTGTGTCTGGAAAATTAGCCTGCTTCGTGATGAAATCACTTTCAGAGTTAAAATAAAACGCATTGGGATAGCTCAGCTCTTATTTCCAAAAAAACACATTTGCTCTGAAGCTTCTCCTGTTTGGACCTGTAGCATGCGTGTCTACCTGAAGATAATTTTTCTGTCACTTTTGCTTCTCATTCACTATTTAAAGCACATAGTTTTAACATTTAAAAACTAGGACTGGAAAAATACTATATAAAGACTTAAGTTATTCAGTCAGCAGTAAGTCACTGTGGGTGCTGCTTTTCTGTCCAACCAGAAGGATGTGAAAATAGCACAGGACATAGCTCCTACAATTACTAAAGCTAACTAAATTGGACTGATGGGAAAGGCTGAAACTATATCCTTCTCTCAACACGCATTCCTAGCAGTATGGAAGGTTTAAGAATAAGTTTTATCAAAAGGAGGTATAGAAAGTGAGCACCTAGCTCAGGACTGTGGAAGTGAAATGGTTACCTTGTTCCGGAAGTGTCATATGGAGTGAGTGAGGATAATGTTACAACTCTTGCCCACCCTTCCCTCCTGAAAAGGAAGACTTATTTACACCAGCAGTATCAAGGGCACTCTAGAGTCCCCACTGCAGTTGGATAGCTGACTGTTGCTTTAGAAGTGCTTGAGTCTAGACAGCCACGTGCACAAAGTCCCTGACTGACCTGTTCAGGCTCAAACCTTTATGGGCTGCTGACAGAAGAGTCCAGCTTCTCTTGGGGACCTGGTAGCTAAAGAAGTTAATGTGGCAGATCAGCGAATGGTTTCCTGGTGACCTCTGGCTGGTTGCTAATGTGGCTTAAAGTCTCCTCAAGGCAAAAGCCAAGATGAATGGGGCTTTTTCTACAAACCTTTATTTGAGAGTTACAAAAACTTGGGGGGTAGGGGAGGGAACTGAGGGTTGTGCTATTCCGGCTCATCACCAGGCTCCGAGTGATCTGACTCCTTGTCCTTGTGCTTTTCCAGCTTTGCTATGAGCTCTGAAAAGACAGCAAGAGTCAGGGCGAGGCAGAGTGGTCCCTGGTTAGCATCACTGTGCAAGGAGCCAGTAGCAGGACATGGGGTTGATGCCTGCAAGAAACTGACCCAGGCAGACTGCTGCAGTGACAGGTTCATTAGGTGCTCACTGGGGAGGGCAAGAGGTGGGCACTGTACCAGGAGCCTGAGGGTGGGAGCCCCAACAGACAGAGGGAAATGTGTTTGCTATACCAATTTACCATTTGAATGCCCAGGCCCACCGAACCTGTAAATGCTCCAGGTCCAACCCAGCAGCTGCCTTGGGCTGTACTACTCAGCTAGCTCATCCCAGCTAGTGACCTTCAGCAAATAATGATCCAGGCCCTCCAGCCTGGGGTCCTATCTGGTTTTGCTCAGCTGCATGCTGGGGCAGGGTGGGCAGTTCTCAGTGCTTACATGGAGACAGGCTTTTCCAACTTCTTGGGTGGAGCAGGGAGCCCATGGAGATTGGTGTAAAAGGCTGTTCTACATCCAGCCAAGAGCTTTAAATGCCAGGACATCTGTATTTGTGGAACTGTTTGGCTTAAGACAGTGGGATGGTGCCAGGCTAAGCTGGCTCAAGCAGTGGAGAAAAGTGATCAACACCTCCAGACTCTGCAGTAACACTGCAAGTAGGGTAAGAGTGGAGGCAGTGGTACCTTTAGCTGGATTAAAGACGCCATTGGTTTGCTTGTCACACACATAGCAGCGTTTGGATTTCTGGTAGTGCTGCAGGGCGCAGCCCTCACAGAAGTAGTGCCTGCACCTGCAGGGAAGGAAGAGGAGCTGGAGTGAATGTCCCTCGTGGAATTGCAACAGGAATTAGGCCCAGAGTCTCCATCCCCACAAGGTACATGGAGAGAGGGAGGGTGTGACCCCGCTTACTCCTGTGGGAGCTGTAGACTTCAATGTGAGCTCAGCTGCAAGCACTCTCTGTACCTGTAAAAGCACAAACTCCCCCAACAATGCTGGCCTGAGTGCAGCTCTTGTACAGACCCAGCAGAGGAACAGTCACAGCCTCCTACCCAGTAGCTGGGAAGTGGGGAAATATGACAACGCTGGGAACTGAACCCAGGTGTCCTAGCTGTCAGTTAGGCCATTCCTAAACTGGTTGAGGTTTTAGAATGCCATGAAACACCTGCTAGCGAGGCCTGACCAAATCCTGACAAGCTGCCAGCATAGGCACAGAGCTCTCTTGGTCCGCAATTCTGGGGTTGATGGTTGGGCAAGGGGCTGGGAGCCAGGGCTCTTGGATCCTCTCAGCTCTGCCACCACCTCCCCTCTTTGTCCTTGAGCAAATCTCTTCAGTAATCCATGCCTCAGGTTCCCCATTTACAAAACAGGGAGATGGTTGCTTAATAAGAAAAATCACAAAGCAGGGGGAAGCTGCCAGAGCATGGTAACTGCAGTTACCACAATGGGTCTGGTATCCTGGGAGGGAGGGTGCTTTTGGGCACATCCATGGTGCTCCTGGAAGTCTTGCTGAGATGAGGCACTCCTTGCTGCTACATTTCAGGAAGTGCCCTTAGCCTGGCTTTTCTAGGATAGGTGCTTGTAGGGCTCACAGGGGAGTACTCCACAGTGTGGGCACATTCAGACTAGAATCTGAGGCCAGGTCAGGAACACCCAATCTGACTTCCTGCCATTACATTCACCCCGTTCCCCACCATTACTCCAAGAGAAACACCAGCGCAGGGTCTGGTAGGCATTGAAAACTAGGGCAGGCCACACAGGTGTGCCTGGTTCGAGTGGATGCTGGCTACATTTGCCATGACAGCTAGTGACAGTAACCCAAAAGCTAGAGCCTTTGGTGTTCGCCCCAGGAGCAGACAGAGGTCCACTCACTTGGTTATCACAGGGTTCTTGAAGGAGCCTCTGCAGATGAAACACTTGAAGGGCATGTCATCATCATCACTGCTCACCTCGTAGTTCTCTTCATCTGCACAAGAGAAACTATTAACCGGATGGAGGCAACAGCAACTGAGCCCTAAAGCTAGCCTATGCCTGCACCATGAAATACTGAGCACATGGGCTATGTAGCAGGTGGGATCAGTTCTATGCAGTAAACAATAGAGCTCTGGCATCTGGGTGTCTCTGATGTCAGCAGCTTGTGTGGGAATGAGATATAATTAGTTCTCATGCCAACATGCTTGCTGCTCATCTCACCAAAGCAGGTTCTTCCCACTCACTGCTATAAACAGTGAGGCCTCCATCCTATTCTGCCAGCTTTCCCCAGCCTCACTGCTGCTGAATGGTTTGGCTCCAAGCCCAGCAGCTGCATGCAGAATCCTGGACTCTTCTGCTGCACAAGGGATCACAAGCACCACAAGGTTCGTGGGCTCCAGCCACAGCTATGGACATGCTCTGAGCCACATGGCAGCAGGAGGGATGCGGAAGTGGGGAGGGGAATTCCACATGAGACCTTGTTAACATGGTACCAACAAAATTTAGGGGGAGAAAGAGTTATCAGCAAGGAGGGAGAGCTGTACCATACCATTGACTCCATAGCGCCCTTCATCTAGCTCCCGTTCGATCTGCCAGCCATGTTTGTAGTCTGAGCGGTCATGCAGGAACTTGCAGCTATCTGCAGAACAGTAGACAAAGGGTTAATGCCCTCTCCAGTCACTTCCTTTTTCAAATGGATTACAAAAATAGATGCCTGGACTGCTGGGAAGAGACACTATATTTGTGTGCAATCCCCCACTTCAACAGTGGGCACAGAGGCACAGCAGCTGGAGCCTGCCCGCTGAGCTCTGCCACCCACCACCTTCTGATCTGGAGTGTACATGAGCATCACACCCAACAGGTGGATCTCACCAGCCTTGTGGTGGAACAAAGCCACAGGCTGGCTGAACACCACCAAAGCAGATGATGTGTTCTGCTCGACCTCTCACACTCGCATCTTCCCCTGCCACAGAGGGGAACAGTTACAGAGCCAACAGTTGGAGCTGCTCAGTGACACCCCCTCCATGTTCCTGATCAAGGTCTTCTAAGGATTCTGCCCTTGGAAGAATTCACCCCAGGTTTGGTGTGTGCAGGGACTACCCAGTGGAAGGACAGTCAATGTAGGACAGATGTGAGCAGCTTGTGGCCAGGTGACTGTCAGGATCTCAGGACATGGCAGCAGGGCTGGGACAAGGGATGAGCCCCTCACCTCCAAAGCCACAGAAGCCAGTCTCCTTGTAGTCTTTACAGATGTCAGGCTGGTAGTCCCATCTCACTGTGGCCCTCAGGTGCTCTGGTGCACGGATCGGCCCTTTCCTGAAAGGTTGAAGAGTGCTTAGAAGGTGAAGGGAGCCATGACCTGTCAGAGATGCTGACTAGGTAGAATCCAGCTGGGAAGCCAAATTTACTGCAAAACAAGGGTGGTGCTGGTGAGAGGGGCAACACTGGCAGCTCTGGGACTGAGGACCTCTGTCCCCAGGGTGGATACAACATGGGCATCAGGGACATGGATTTCTCCAAGCACTGCTGTGACTGCAGAGGTGCTGAGTCATGTAAAATCAGCAAGAGGGTCAGCTGGCACCCACCTGACCATCCCTGAGGAGGCATTTCCCATAGACGTGTCCTTGGGCTTCACATACTTCTGATAGTTATTAATCCCTCGGTAAATTTTATCGTCCTCCTTCCCTCGTAGCTCCTAGAGATTGGGAGAGCAAGAAAACAGGCAGAGGGTCAGCTGGGAAAGAGGACTCCCACCCAGATCTGCTTCCCCAGCTTCTCCTTGCAGCCAGAGCACTGGACAAGGCCAGGGAAGCCAACTGGTGCTCACTAGAACCTAGGAAACAGATCTGTACTTGGCCTAAGTCAGAGAACAACAGGCTTCCCCCACCCTGACATTCCAGGTTTTGTGGGGACCTTTGGTGCTCATAGGAAATGGAGGAGGGCTAGCCACACAACACAGCTCTGCCAACACATCTCAGTCTTGACCTCCTTTCCCACACCTGCTCAACAAAGATGCCTGCTGCCTCTGCCTTATACACGTCAGTTCCACCAAGGCATATCCATCCCACTCTACAGCACTTCCAGCCTTATGCCTCTCTCAACCATAGACACAGTGTAACCTACCAAGCTTTTGTGGCCAGTCTGCTTTTCACTCTGAAGCACTCAGGTCCACAGGAGTCTGAAGCCCATTCTCTCTCACCAAGCTTCCCTAACACTCATACCCTACAGCAGTGACACAGGCCCCAGGAACAGGGTATTACCAAACAGAGATGGACAGGCCCCCTCCTGCCCTGGACATGGTCGACTAACCTCCTGGATTTTCTGGCTGCGCTCAAAGATGGCCTGGGCATCTTTCTCCTTTTCAGTGTCTAGTTCATATACTGCTGTGGCACCCATGTCTTCTGGGCCGACAGGTTTCTGAAAAGCAAAAGACACGTCACAGTTCAGAAGGACTGCACAAGGACTCAGGCCCTATAGACAAGGAGGGAAGGATAAAGGTAGGAAACTGAAGTCAGGGATAAAGACATGGGCACTATCTAGTTCACTCTCCACCGGTGACATTGGGATGCTTTTTGCACCATCCCTCAGTAGGTGACCCTGATGGCTGTCACCTTGGGTCTACGAATCATTTTAGGTCTTGTCTCTGACACCTTTCCAGAGCCTTGTGATCAGTAATGAATGTTATCCTAAGGTGGGGAAGTATTTGGGCTATTCTGCCTCAGACCTCAGGCAGAGTTGGGAATAGACACTAGGGACAGACCTCTTTGTACCAAGGCACACAGGTAGTTAGTTGTGTCTGGGTTTCTACCCTGGTGGCAGGGTTCTTGCACTTGATTTCATTAATACACCCATTTTGTTTAGCTTCTTTCCTTATATAATGTAAACTCTGGCTTTGTCAGTCTGTTACAAACAGCCCCATGGTTACAGGGATTCAGTATAAGGACACCCACACAAGCACCACCCAGCCTTCATTCAAAATAGACCCAGCTCTATATTTATCTGCTGAAAACTCTCCAGAGCCCAATATCCACATTCTCCTCCTGCACCTCCCCCGCTGTTCCCAAGTGTGAGTGACGCACTGCAACGGCCCCCAGCCTGCCAGCTGCAGTGGGGGATAATTACAATATCAGGCTATTGTGATACAAGTTACAATGAACTAGAAAGACATGAACTAACAAAGTCTCATGCCCTCTGGGGAGAGGCAGCATCGTCCCTGTTTTCAGATGAGGAAACAGAGGCACAGGGGAGGGGATCTGTGCAGTTTGAGCCCCATAGGCCTTTCCTCCTGTCCACAGCCCATCCTACCACCATATTCTGAAGCCAGCCTCAACACAGAAACAATAAGGACACTGAAGAGGCCCTTACAATCACCTCCTGGTGTTATTTAACCCAGATCGAATTGATCTATCTTTGTGTCATGTGGTACACTCAAGGCCAGGCAGTGAAACAAGATACAGCTGCTTGGATTTCCAACATCACAGGAAGTTATACATTTCATTAGGCATTTGAGAAGAGTTGTGTCTAATGTAAGGACTTGTAACTTCTCCACCACCCTCTGTTTTCAGTTGCGTGATTAGGCCACTGGAGGATGCCTAGGTTCTGTTTCCTATTCTTCCACCAACTGGTTACACAATCCTCGGACAGTTACTTTGTCTCTCTGTGCCTCAGTTTCCCCATTAGTAGAGCAGGAATAAAATTACCATTCCCCCTTGTGAAGGGCTCAAAAAGGAAGAGTTGCCTGGAGGGGCAAGGCACTAGCTTCCGACTCAGGTCACCTGGCTCCAAGCTCCTGGTTCATTGCCAACCTCCTGTGTGACCCTGGGCAAGTCACTCATCCTGGAAGGGCCTCAGCTTCCCTTGTGTAAATCCTGCCCTGCCTCACAGGACCATCGCAAGGATGACTCCATTAAAGGCAATCAGACACTCTGGCCCTGCAAGGCTGGGAAAGCCCTCGAAGAGGCAAACACACAAGAGAAGCGCTCAACAGAGCCATAAAACCAGGGCATGGGACCAGGATAAAGCAACCAAAATTCCCATTCAGGGCAAGAGTGTCTCCAGTAGCTCTCCTGAGGATGCCCAGTTTTATACTCTGCCAGAGGGCAGACAAGGTGACCAGCTAGCTCCTTTGGGCTCTACAGCCATGTCCCCTTCAAACGTAAGCACTGTACTCTCCTCACCGCTGATCGTGTTGATTTGTAAGCGACTCCGACACCTTGCGATGCCTCCTCATCGCTGCTGCTGTTCGACCCATATGAGGTCTTCTCCTTTACGCTTCTCTGGGTCTGCAGGGGGAGAGAAAGACACTGAAAATCTAATATTGGGAAGTGGAACACAACACCCAGACACAAGAGGCCCTCCTCCCACGGGGGAGGCCATCCCTAATGAGCTGACTCCATGCTGGCTACAGACAGAACTATAGCCCAGGGAGGCAAATTAATGAAACTTTGGGCACTCAGGTCTCATCAGGATCAGGCTCTGCACAAATCACTAAACTATCACTAAACTGTGGAAAGGCAGCAAGTAGTACAACAGTGGGAAAGGGGAGCATTCTGGTTACAGATACCAGGATCACACCTCCACACCACATGCATACATGGGCCCTCTCTCTTAAGTGAAAGACCTTTGCACAATAGTATCTAGAACTTAGGCTCACAACTCGTGGAGTACGCAGATACTGCAAATACAGCAGTTCAGGCTACAATGCACCTGGTTTGGGGACAGGGAAGTGGGCACAGAGCAGTATGACATGTCTAATGGTGTCACTGTTTGGCCCAATATAAGGACACCCTTACATCTAAGACGAGCTGCTAGAAGGGTGGCCTCCTTGAGGACACAGAGACATGAGATGTAAAGCTGCAGTAGACCAACACTGCCTGAAAAATGACCCAGGCTCCTAACGATGCCCAGGGAGGTTCTGAACAAGAAAGGCCGAAACATGGAAAAAAAGGAGGAAAACCTTTGTGCAGCCCCCAGTGCCCTTCCTCGGCCGTACGCCACCGTCAGCTACTGGTGGTAGGAGGTAGTTCGTAGACCAGCGAGCAAGGGGCAATGCAGTCACAGTGCCCGAACCCTCAACCCCGGCCCATCCCGCTTGTTCCATCACAGGAACAAATGACAGGTTTGCTTCAGATCCAAGGGGTGTGCTTGCCAAGCCAAAGCCTTGTGCGTCCCTCTGTTTACTTCCCACCACAGCCAGTGCAGCGATCCAGGGGCTAACGTCACCCGCACATGTGAACTGAGTTCTGTCACGAGTGCAGCTGTGGCATCTGCCCCGCGCCGGACCGGGACATTTGGGGTCATGTGAGACACCCAAGGCCTGTGGCTACTGTGTGTGGCTCCCCACCCACACAGCTGCACCCCCCCCCGCTGAGGCCTCTGCTCCCTTAGATGTCTGAGGACTGCAAGACAAGCCACGCGAGGGCAGGGAGCAGCGGCTGAAGACAGCCGTGGCGATGGCCAGGGCGAGCCGGTTGATGTCAGCTACCGCCTGTGCACGAGGAAGAAGCCCCCAAGTGCCGTGGTGCCGAGCTCTTCCCTGGGGCTTTTCACAGTCCTGGGTGGGGCTGGGCCAGCTGGCAAGATGCCCCGCGCCTGCACCACGGCGCAGGCAGCCATTACCTTCTGGACCATGGGGTTGGGGGCATCCCGGCGCCGCTCCTTGCGCACCACTGCGCTGCCCTCGTCGCTGCTGCTCCCTGTGGGCAAAGCGGCCATCAGGTGTCAAGCCAGCCAGAGCGGGCTGCCCTGCTGTCCCAGGCTTGGGGGGCATCATGGCCAGGCGCCACCACTCCCAGCCCTGCAGGGGTCCCCACCCCTGCGCTCAGTGGCTCAGTCCAGACCCTCCCCCCCCCGCAGTGAGAATGGGATGTCCCAGAACCACCTGCCTTCAAGCGAGGACGGCCCCGGAGAGTATGGTATAGCCCAAAATCCCCTCCCCAGTGGCAGTGGCACAGCCCAGAACGCGCCACCGCTCGCTGGTGATGGTATGGTCCGCACCGCCCATGATAATGGCACAGCTTAGGAGCCCCTCCTCCCCCCGCCTGCAGTGGGACAGTCCGAACGCCCTCCTCCCGGGGTGGGCCCGCAGCCAGAGCCCGGCGCTGGCAGTAGTACGGCCCGCCCCTGGCGGAGTGGTTCCGACCGCGGCCCCTCACCCGCCTCCTGGTCGCTGCCCGGCCGCTTGCGCCGCCCCCTGCCGGCTGCCGGCCC